CTGGCTTAATCGGTTGCACGTTTGCCGAGCCAGGATGAAAAGGCGCGGCTATGTTAAGCCAGGTGTAGATAGTCGGGATAAGTGCGTGTTCACGGCATACTGAAATAGACCTCGCGATCGCTCACAGAATCACCGATGGGAACATGGATAAGAGTCACGCTTCGTATTTCACGGCCGCTGAAAAACAGCTGCTGATGGAGTTCTATGAAGAGGTGGAAGATAGAAGAAAAAAGGCAATACCAATGCCATAATTAAAGAAAGAGAGAAAGCCTGGCAGACAATAGCGGACCGGCTTAATGCTTAAGTAGTCCAAAACTGTACAATGAATAAACAGTGCTCCACTGGAACTGTCATAATTAGGCTACAATTAAAGGACTAAAGGAGTTACTTTAAGTCCACTAATCAACTGTTGTACACTTTGCTTTAAATGTGGCAAGTAGAGGTTCATGTTACTCAGAAAATGTAAAGTATGATTAAGTGCAAACAATTATCCACAATGTGTGTCATTTAATCTATTTTTATCTATTTTATCTTTCTATCCTTCATAAAGAACCAACTTGTCTGGCCATAAAAGGACCTGGCAGCAAGTTAAAGTTAAATACAAGAACATTTTGCAGGCTGGAAAGTGACTTTAAAGTAGATAACAGTGAACAAATGAGGTGAATAGATTAGGTATCTGCTGACTTGTTGAATGTCTGTATGATTGTAGCAGTTAAAAAAAGCCCATAGAACTGGCACAGGGGGCCCACCAAGCCAGGATATGTGCTGCAAATGGTCCCTTTATTGAGGTTCTCTGCATCCCCAACAGAATAAAGGAAGCTCCCACTTGCAAAACATCTCAATGTAACACAGACCATCTGTGGTACAGTGAGAACATGGCTTCCTGCCGTCTGGTGCTGTATTTTTTGGACCCAGCAGCCTACATAAATATCTTAGTCCATCACCTGAGAATCTGTATCTCTCAATGAGATAGTCCTCTCCAACAGCCAATGGGTCTGACCTGTCCCAGAAGACTCTTTCATGACTAAATGCTCGTCTGAGGATTAGGGCTTCCTCATCCAGTACATCCTCCAAGAAAGGGCAAGCCATTATGAAGAGGGAACAGGTGTGAATAATATATATATATTATGGCATGCCGTTTAGGAAATGAAGCTTTGAATATATGAAATGAATCTTGGATATACTGATAAAAATGTGAGAATACTGAATGAAATTGAAAACCTAGTTGTATCCTTTTCATCAAAGTGATAGCCTTCTGAATTAGCTGGTTTTACAAAATGGCATCAGTTGAAATATTACAATACTTTCTTAAACTGGAAAACTTTTTTGCTTTTTCTGTCAGGATTTAGCCTGAGGCCTGTTGTAGTCGGCCTGCCACCATTAAAAAGGGAGGGAACTTCTTCGTCAGGAGAACGGTATTGGGCACGGGTACTATGGGAAGGATTTTGGCCCGTACAAGCACTTGCCAATGAGTTAATAATGTCCTCATTGCTCAGTATTGCTGCCACAAGGTTCCTGACTGACTCATTCTCACTTCTACAAGATGACAGCAGTGCCTTGATTGACCAGTCAAGTTTCATTGAATATATTAAAAGATTCATTCAATATATTAAAAGTTTCATTCCATATATTCAAAGATTCATTTTATATATTCAAAGATTAATCTCTTAAACGGTATGCCATAATATATACTATATTGCCCTTGTCACAGATTTCATTGAAAACACCTTTGCAACTTCATCAGCTGTGTTTTGTAATCTCAATTACTGCAATAAACACATATTTATGCAATTTGGCAAGCAGTCTTCATTAGCATAGCAATATAACACTTGTCCTGAGTAATAATACTACCACTTGAATCAATATAAAAAAGACTGTTGCAATTACAAACAGCCAACAGATTTAAATGAAATCAGAAATGACAATATATATGTAATATTTTAATGCAGAATAATTAAAATGATGCAACATACTTAGAAAGACCATGGACATGCTGTAAAACACATTAATTCCTCACAGGATTGACGGTGGAAATACAGGTGAATCACTAGGATTAATCTTAGCCTGGCTGTTAGCCTGGTCTGGAGCAGGCTAACTGCAGAGAATAAATCACCATAGTAACTTGGCCGGGATAAGTTTAACCTGCTTTCATGCAACCGAGCCAGGATAACCAACATATCCCGGCTTAATCCCTTATCCTGGTTTTGTGCAATACCCCTCTGCTCTATTTGAAAAGTGTCCTGAGATAACTTCTGTTATGAATTGGCGCTATACAAATAAAATTGAATTGAATTGAATTGAATTGAATTGAATTAAACACAGAGACGTAAACACAGACGTAAACACAGAGACGTAAACACAGAGGCGTAAACACAGACGTAAACAGAGAGATTGTAAACAGACAGATTGTAAACAGAGAGACGTGAACACAGAAACGCGAACGCAGAGACGTAAACAGAGACGTATACACAGAGACGTAAACGCAGAGACGTAGACGCAG